GGCCTCGGGCCGCCGGCAGACCCCGCCGTCAGGGCCCAAGGCCGAGCCTCCCATGCTGGGCCCTCACCCCGCAGCCCCCGGGCTCAGCCTGGTGAGAGGGCGGCGGCAAAGGGCTGGGCCTGAGGTGCGAGGCCACTGCCAGGAGGGAGGTGGCGTGGCGAGCTGTGGGCAAAGCCCTCGTGCGTTGGCAGCCAGTGGAGTTGGATGTGGCCGTGACCACCTCGGGAGGCCACCACGGTGTGGGGCAGCATCACCGTGCCGTTGGTGCTGCCGAAGGATGAGCGAAACCAAAACGTGTCTGCTAACTGCTGCCTGGAATTAAATAGAAAGTGAAACAGGGGGGCTTGTGCATGGGGAAATAACGAGGTTTTTTGTGAAAACGAGTTGCAAAAAGCTTTACATAGCCTCCCGAGATAGGAGTTGAACGTCAAAAAGGGACATAACTTGCTATGAAGTCAAGAACAAAATGGAGATGTTTAATGGATGTGGGGGATAAAACTGTAAATATCTTTAGCAGCCCTGGTGCAGGTGGAGTGTGTGAAGAAGCAGCTTCCAGAAAGGACCACATTTTCTTATGTGCTTTGGAAATACTGCACATGTGTGGGTTTTGAAACATGCAGCATTCAAACTCGAGGACTTTTCTCCTGTCTCATTCAGAGCAGAGAATCAGAGATACTTGACATGTTTTTCATTGTTGATAAAAGAACAGAGACCATTGTCTAACTTCAAAAAAAAAAAGAAGGGGGTCGACAAGGGTGACAGGTTGATTCTCTGCAGTTTTCTATTGAGATCACTAGTTTATTGGGGTTTATTCTGTTCTTTCTTCCCAGGGAGTTTGGAATAAGCAGTTTCAGACAAACAGGCTCCACTTAACCAAAACAATGTTTGCAGATTTGGACTATGATATTGAGGAAGATAAGTTGTGAGTATTTTGCTTGTCTTTTCCTGTTTTTTGCTAACAATAGAAATAGTCTTTGCAGCCAAGGCCTAATGGGAGTGGATAAATTTACCTGCTCCTGACGCTGTGTGCTGAAGAGTCAGACTTACTGTTCAGTCCTGATTTCTTGCTCCCTCTGGGGTCTGGGGAGGAAGTATCGCTGTGCTGGTGAGCAAAGGAGAACATTTTCTGTTGCTCTGCAATGACTACCCTGAGTTTCTCATTGCAAAGCAGTGCTGACAAATCTTCTGTAAATTAATGACCTTAGCCAGAGAAAAAAAAATTTGTAATGGAGGCAAGATAATAAGAGGCAAGAAGTGGAGAGAAACTCTGGACTCCTTAGGTCTGTAAGGAGGAGAACACTGGCATTTCCTGAGCAAGTAAAAGGTTTGATGAGATTAGCAGTTAATTTAACATGGAGCACTTGTCTTGCATCTCATTTATGCTGTGCAAGTTTTCCTCTCACTCCAGCATTAAGAGCAGATGAAATACTGTCTAAAACACGATAGTGTTTCCTCAGTCCCTAGCGATGGATGAGGGTGTCTCTCCCACCTCTAATCCTTGCATGCAGTCTCAAAAACAGAGCCCAGAAGGTCTTTCTGCTGTCCTGTGCTGATAGACTCTATGGCAGAGATAATGTGATGAATTCAAGTGTGCAGTGCCCATTACGTTTTCAGTTTGTATCGATTCAGATACCAGAGTTGATTCATACACATGCAGCTCTGCCTACCGTGTTCAGTTATTCTTTCCCCCTTTCTCATTCTAGGGGGATCCCCACTGTACCTGGGACAGTGACCCTGAAGAAGGACTCTCAGAACCTGATTGGGATCAGCATTGGGGGAGGAGCACAGTACTGCCCCTGTCTCTACATTGTCCAGGTGGGCACTCGGGGAAGAAGAATAAACCATCTTTGTAAAACAGTGTTGGCCTGAGAGATGGAAAGCATGGAGACTCCTGTGCTATTTGTTTTTCTCAAAGTGGGAGACATCATCTCTTTCCAGTGAATAAGATTTCCTTACCCTAGTACCTAATAGTTGTGGAAAAATTAAATTAAGACTCCTGAAATTATCCTTCTCCTTGGAGAGCATGTTAGAATTCACAGGGGAACAGTGTGACATTCTCAACATCAAGAAATCCTACGCTTGAGGAGGTACGTCCTGGAGGCAAGAACTTCCTGAGAGAACAAGATGATCAGCCCACCTCTTAGTTAGAAAAGGGGAAAAACTGTGACTTCACCATGAACAAAACACAACTGAGTTAAATAGGAGCAATGTAATTGTCCTTTTTTTGTTCTTCAGCCCTGCATTCACCTTTCTCTTCCTCTTGATTCCAGACCACCTGTGCTTTTTCTCCTCTCCGCTAGGTATTTGATAATACTCCAGCAGCCTTAGATGGCACCGTGGCAGCTGGTGATGAAATCACAGGAGTGAATGGGAAGTCCGTCAAAGGGAAGACGAAGGTGGAAGTGGCCAAGATGATACAGATGGTAAAGGTGAGAGGTAGGAGGGGGCCACTGGAGCTTCTGGGTCGTAGTTTACAGTTTATTGTCCATTGGTAAAGGAAGCCACTGCTACTTGCTTCCAGCACAGGAGTTTTGGATTTGCTCTTTCTACAGGGAGAAGTGACGATTCACTACAACAAGCTTCAGGCCGACCCAAAGCAGGGCAAGTCTTTGGATATCGGTAAGACTGGTTTCTTTCTCCCTAGAGTGTTAAAGTGACACGGAGGGCTGAAAGATTGGTCCCAGCCAAAACCAAAGTAAAAGTCTGGTTCCGTTCTTCCTCTTAACTCAGTCATTTTCAGATGGATACTGTCAAAGAGAATTACAGGTTTAAAAAAACCCGTCCCTGATTTCTTGAAATAGTCTTGAAAGGTAAATTGAGGCTCGACTGTTGTTGTGGGAGGCTTGTTTTTCTGTGCTATGTTTAGCATGGATGATGAAACTCAACTAGATAATAATTTAATTTATTTATTTTTAATACATGTAAGTTATGCTGATCTATTGAGAGTTTCAGCTGTACACAGAAATGCGTCTATCAAAAAACACTGGTTGCAGTTTCTCAGCATGGAGAACAGTGATGAAATACCTATCTACACTGAGTTTTGTACAACCATAAATTTTATAGAAGAGAGGGGAGGCTTTATTTCTAAAACAAAGTGTGTGTTTTGAACTAAGCCTACACAGCTGTCTCCATTGTATGGTCTATCTTTTTCACTTTCCTAAAAAATCTATCTCTTTTTTTTTTTTTTGCTTTCATTTCTTTTCGTGGTGATTAAGGTGCTAATGAATTGACAGGGGTTCAGGAAAATGGTGAGGACTGAGATGGATTTCTGGGGAAACAGAAGTGCGGTGAGAATATGGTATTTTCCAGAGATGCTGAGTTTTCCAGAACACTGTGGCTCCAGCTGAGTTCTTGGGAGCTGCAGGCACTTCGCACCCCTGCAAGTTTGCCTCTAAATAAATGTAGCTGTGTCATCTGATTCCAAAGAGGGCATAATTGTCTCTAGTAATTTGCAGGGTATGACCACCAAAGACAGAAATTAGTTCTATCAGGGGGTGGCCAAAGGGTTTAACTAAGATTCAAAAGATAAAAGTAAGCAAAGGGATAATTTTGAGCATTAAATGCTATTTGTTTTGCTTTCAGCCTCGTCTCCTGACTTCAGCTGAAGTAATAAGCAAGTAGCATAAGCAAAGTTTAGTTCCAAATATCATGATAGGTAGCTTATAGCAAAGTGATTTATTGGAATAGTCTTCCAAAAGAAGTGCTGGAGCTCTATTGATTGAAGTGTATAGGATGTGAGAGCAGAACAGGCAGAAGATAGAAGATGTGCTATGCATGGCTGGACCGAACATCTAGTTTCTATGGTATTCTTTTTCTGCTCACTGCCTCAGTTGTGAATTAAGTTCAGACTGGCCAGTTTATTCAATGCCTGAGAAAGTGGTGAAGTATGCTAGTGTGCTTTTCATGCCCATAGAAATGACCCTGGTCCTGGTTTGCAACTCTCTTTTGGCCTTTAGTATTGAAGAAGGTAAAGCATCGACTGGTAGAGAACATGAGCTCAGGGACAGCGGATGCGCTGGGGTTAAGCCGAGCCATACTTTGCAATGGTAAGTATTGTCCAGGGGGACGGTTTCTTGAGGGAACGCTTATCCTCTTGTGCTTACCAACTTTTTATAGTTACTTGCATGTTCCACGTTACTCCTTCATAATTCTTTCCTTCTGCTATACCTCACTGTTGTGATTGCCTCTGCCCTTCCTGAGTGATACATCCTGTCATTGGGGCCATTTAAATGTTAACTAAGGTCAAATTAATTTAAAGTGAGGACCCACTTAGTGAATGCTGATAAGTGATGATGCCACAGTGTAAAACTAGTTGGCAGTTATTTTAAAAGCTTCCCATGTTGGAGCAGGGGACAGGCTTCAGAGGTGAGAGAAATTTGAACCAAAACTGTGAAACTGGTGTTTTTCCGGTCGGTCAAGTCTTAACCATGTCCTGCATTTGACTGTTCTAATTCTGTATTCTGATTCTTGTTTCCATTTAGATGGACTAGTGAAGAGATTAGAGGAGCTGGAGAGGACTGCAGAGTTATACAAAGGTAAACTGTGTCTTCCATCAGACACCAGATGGGAGAGAAGGATGCCTCCATTATGTTTCAGTAAAATGACTTACATGTTTTTTCTGGCTTCCATCACAGGCTTGACAGAGCACACGAAGAGTCTTCTCAGAGCTTTCTTTGAGCTATCCCAGACACACCGAGGTAAAGAATCTTGAGTGAAGGGAGCAGAAATCTTTGACCTCCAGTTTCAGGAGTTTTAGTCAGTACCTAGATGCGCGATTCCCTCACTCAAAGAAAACTAAGTGTTGCAGAAGTGAGCTGGGAAGGGCTGCTCTCCAGGCATTAGCGGTCACGGTGCCTGTCTTTCACATGGGACATTGAAGAAGGAGTTGTGTTATTGAAGGCAAGATTATTCTCCAGGGTCAACTTCTTCTTTCATCTGTTTGTATTTATTACCTTCATCCAGCATTTGGAGATGTTTTCTCTGTCATCGGCGTACGGGAGCCGCAACCAGCTGCCAGTGAAGCCTTTGTGAAATTTGCTGATGCCCATCGCAACATTGAGAAGTTTGGGATTCACCTTCTGAAAACAATTAAACCGGTAAAGAATTTAACCGTAGGAATAAAGGGTCTGGAGAAGAGGGGAATCTAGAAAGACAGAAGCGTGTCTTTGAAGGTGTGGTCTTATAAATCATTCATTGTGGGAAGAACTGTCTTTGTCTGCTTTCCTTCAGGGAACTCTTCATAAAGAACCTAAGAGGTAACATAGTGAATATATCATTCTTGTCCCTTTGACTTTTGCACATGAATATATTCCTCTCCTTTCCTTTTGGGGATGAGAGGGTAGTTTGATCAGTGTAGTCCCTAGAGCCCTTTCCCCGATATTGGTACGCATAATTAAAAGATATCACTAAATTTAAAAGAGTTTAGATAAGCAGTCCAGGAACAATTTAAGGATTTCAATCAATATATTTGAGAGTCTCCAGGGGATCTGTCTACTTAGTTTAGCAAAGAGAGGATTAAATGTTGATTTGGGTACCACTTTCAGTGCAATGTTGGATGGACAGCGTTGGGTAGTGGGCCTTTGAATCCAGGAGAGCGGTTTCCAGGACCAATTGAAAGCGAAACAAGATGAGTCGAAAGAAGATGAATGCAGACTAGAAGTGAGGCACGCATTTTTTAACACTGGAACCACTTGCCAGTGACAGTAATGGATGCTCTAACCATGGCAATTCTGAGTCAAGATCAAACATTTTCTTTCAAATATGCACTAGTTCAAAAAACAGTTAACTCAAGGCAGTCTCATGACCTGTGCTGATTAGAAGGTTGCACTTGATGAATTGTAGTCATGCTTTTTGACATTCAGCAACAGGATGTTTCCCTTGCAGATGCTTACTGACTTGAATACGTATCTGAATAAAGCCATTCCTGACACAAGGCTGACTATCAAAAAATACCTGGATGTCAAGTTTGAATATTTGGTGAGCCACTTGCTTTTTTGTTTTTTTGGTTGTTTTTTTTTTTAGTGCTGGTTTGAATTGAATTTCATAGACTCATAGCCTGAAAGTCACATATAGCCTATACAGTCACATATCCACCCTTCCACAATCCATTATTTTTTCCAATTCTTTGTCTACTGCCAGATTACTCAGATTCGGACACCTGCTTTTAACTAATAGTTCTCACTGGTAAGAAAGATCTCCCAGATTCCAGATGACTTATTTTCTACATGACTGAATTAATTTCCTGATTTATTTTTAAAGACTTCCTATGCAACTTATGCTCTTGAACTCCCCTAAATAGCTCTCCAGTCCATATTTTTCAGGTAGTTTTGGATAGTCTTTCTTTAGCCAAAGTAAACAACTTTCAAGTCATATTTGCTTTCATTTAGACTATGCCTTTTTTTCCTCCTCCATTCCACTCACCCCTTGTTTTCTACACCCAAAAAGGGTAGGGTTGTGAAGTGCATCTGTTCTGTAACTGTAGAAATCTATTTTCTTTTACTAGTTGAGAGAAGTATTTGGAGCTGCAGCCCTAAGGCAAGTGAATATGGCAGCATCTCTTCCCACATCAATCCTTCCCACTTGTCAACTTTTTTTTTTTCCTCTTTATTTATTCCCTCCTCATACTTTTCCGGTACTGTGTTTTCCCAAACAGTAGATGAACACAGGATTTTTCTTTTACTAGGTTATACTTACCTAAAGTATTTGCTCCTGTTATATAAATATTAAGCGCCTTCTCTCTCCCCCACCATTTCCTCCCTCCATCTTTCTCTAAATAGATTTTCCTTCCACCTGGGATGTTTAATATCCTCTGATCCCGCTGTGCTTTCCCCAGTGTCCCTAGCTGCAGCATTGAAGGAAGGCTTGAAACGGTACAACCCCGTGGCTGTGGGTGATGGTGAAATGGCTTCTAATTCTTAATATTTCCTTCTTGTTTTGCCTTTTTTTTTTTTTTTTTACGTTAAATCCTGCAAAGTCTTACTGCCTGAAAGTCAAAGAGATGGATGATGAAGAGTACAGCTGCATTGTGAGTACCAGTACTGTGGCAATGACAACTCTATACGCTGTTTCTGCAGCTTCCCTGTGCACACTGCCTTATAAATACAAAGGCGCTTCTGTGCCTGCGTGCATCCAAACTAGTGAATACATCCTAAGAATTACACACATTTGTTCTTAACATATTAGAAATTGGAGTTCTAATTCTACTTAGATCCTAGGAAACACTGCCAATAACTGTCATGAATCACTGGTGCTGTGGAATAGTAAAGGGACCAGACATCTCCTCTGTAGCTTGTTTACTCAGTGGTTGCCTGTCTCAGTGTTTAAGTAATATTAGCTTGTGTAAGGAGGATTAAGGTGTTATCTTCACAGATTCCATTTGTATGTAGTGTACAGCTTATCATTAATTCTGGACTTGTTTCTGAGAAATGGAGGTTTAGCTTCTCTAGCAAAACGCATGTGAAAGCTGCATTTGTAGTTGAGGAAAATTGATTAAAGGATCTCTCTTAAAAATAGGATTTTTCCTAAAAATAGGTAATTTAAAATCAGAAGACTTAAAAAAAAAAAACGGCAACATTCTCCAGTAACAGTTTGCTGTCTGGTTTAGAGTTTTACAACTAATCCTTAACAGCTCTGTTTAAGATAGCTAAAGGTGTCCCCTATATGCCCAGTTTCCCTGCATGAAAGTAAGATCTTGTTTTATCTTAGGTATTGATCTCAGAGCAGGGATTTGCATTTTTTGAATACCCAATTCCCAGTGCCAGGAAGGAATAAAACTTTCCTAACACAATATTTAATTGTATCTTTCCTGCTAAATGGGAAGGAAAGAATCCCAGTCTTGCCCAACAGAGTAACATCTTTGGGTTTTGGTGCATGCAGCATGCATTACCAAGCCATAGTTGTAACACAGATTTTTATGTATGTTATGTTTACAGGTGCAAGAGAAGAATGCTGTTTTGCTGACAGATCTAACCCCTTTCTCTCAAAACTATTTTGTGGGACAATATATAGATCCCTCCTTACTGGTTTCCAGCATTGTGTCTGGATGGTTGTAGGTACCACAGGGTTCCCTGTGTAGATGTATAATATGTTACGCAATCCATATAGGGTGAAGCTTGCAGAGGAGGGCAGAATTTTTTGTGTGATTGATATAAATTAATATATCCCTCAGACCCTAGACTTGTTTGTTCATAGTGCCTGTCTTAATAGTTCAGATAAGAAGACATTCCACTTCTCCATGCTGGGTTGAAAAGTGCCTGTCCTTCTGTCTTTGCTTAGTAGTGATGCTTTCCTTTACCGTGGTTGGCATGTATTTGGCCTTCAAAATGGCCCCATTGACTACCAGTTTGTTGACGTGGCTCAGCATTCCTAGTGTTTCATGCTTCCTGACTGCAGTTCCAGTGAGCTTGAGAGGGCTGTAATAACCCAAGGTCACTGTGAGTGCGCATTGGTAGGTAAACTCTGTGTACAGGCACTGTTGTGGGAGTCTCTAAAATGGCGCCGTGTTTTTGGCAGGCTCTGGGTGAACCCCTCTACCGGGTCAGCACTGGGAACTATGAATACCGCCTTATCCTACGTTGCCGGCAGGAAGCTCGCACGCGGTTTGCCAAGATGAGGAAGGACGTACTAGAGAAAATAGAGCTCCTGGACCAGAAACACGGTGAGTGCCGCTGCTGTGTCCAGCACCTGAAGGGGTCAGGCAGACATGGCTTTGGCCTTCATGCTCCTCCTTCGTCTCAGCTCAGAAGTCTTTGCTGAAGAACCCTTCTGTGGCTGTGCCCGAGACATCCACCCTCAGAGGCCAGAAGGGATTAATGTATACAGGAGACTGTAACGAATACTGGCGAGGGAGGCTTGATCACAGCCTTCATGCTCTGCTTGTGAAGGGGGTTTTCACCTGATTTTTTCCCAACTTGTCTCCACTACAGTGCAAGACATCGTGTTCCAGCTCCAGCGTTTTGTCTCCACAATGTCCAAGTACTACGATGACTGCTATGCCGTGCTCCGAGATGCGGATGTCTTTCCCATTGAGGTGGACCTTGCCCGCACTACTCTTAACTATGGGCAGAAGGACACATACACGGACGGGGCAGAAGAAGAAGAAGGAGGAAGCGAGAGAGAGGGTAGCAGGAAGGAGGATGCAAATAGTGAAAAGCTCATTGATGATGCCTGAGTGTGCCGGCATGGCCAGAGTAAAGACTTTGCAGACTGTTATAAAAACATGTATTTCACATGGCCATTCATCCTCCGTGACTTTCTGTGTATGATGTCCAGTCTGGGATTCCTCCTCTGCTTTGGGTGGGGGTGGCTGGTTGGATTGGCACCAACCTCTGCTTTCCTCTCCCTTCCCGTGCTTGTTTGCCTGGATATTCCTTTTTCCTCCAGAGACTTCTGCTGCCTAACTCGGGTACTGAGGTGTGGGGAGGAAAATCCCCTACCACACTGCCATGTGACTCTGTGTACAGACAGGACGCTGCCGAGTGTGTGGGATGCACCACTCCCCTCTGGCACATGGAAGCCAGTTAAACATCTGGAGATGATTACAAATGGCAAGAACAGCCCCTTCTGTCCTTCCCTTGTGCTATGGGAAAGTGTTAGCACCAGCATTGTTTTCTTCACCCCACTGCTCGCTGTCTTCAAGCTTCCCATTCTCTGGCCTGTTTTAAGCTTCCTCTGTCTCTTCCATCTGTCCCCATGGACCGCAGGACTGATTTTTGTAGGATGATCACTCCCACCACTCCCAGCTTTCTGTGCCACTGTTTTTAAGAAATAGGAGGAAGTCCAAATTGATGCCTAGAAGTGGTGGTGGTACATCTGAGCTGATCGCCCCCCATCGAAGGGGCTGGGGGAAGCTCTCAAAGCAGGGGGCTGGTGGAAGTAGTTGCCTGGCATGCTGAGCTGCTGCAACCCTGCTGCAAAGATTTGGAAGTCTCTTCGCCTGGCTACCATCCTCTTCATAGTCCCTGAGCTCCTGCACAGCTGGCACTGTCTGCACACTACATAGCTACACCCCAGGGCTAGAATCCTGCAGGATGTGGCTCTGCCCTTACCTGCGGGAAGGAGGGACCTGGCTCAGGAAGGAGCCCTCCTACTCGGCAGAGATGCTGAGGTCAACGTACTTGTCTGAGGCAGACAGGTTCCTGGGAATAACAGCAAAGCTGCACGCATTTCCTTTCCACCATTCTCCTCTCTTATGGCTCCTTGCAATGGACAATAACCAAACGTGCTTCTTGAGGATGTGCAGCCAGTCTTTTTTGTGCAGTTTGCAGGAGGAGCCACCTTAGAACCGCAAAGGAGATAACCCATCCTTAAACTAGAGGGAAGAGGCAGGAAGCCTTGTGGAGAGAGGAAGACGTGGCCTGTAGGCAGAGACATCGAGATTTTGAGTGCCATGCGTGAATAGTGTACCACCCCTACCGCCCCCTGCTCTCCTCTCTGCACAGCCATTTTGTGCTGCCTCTGGGCCAGCCAGCAGCAGCAGCTGACATCCCGTTCCCCAGCACAAGGGAAGGAGGGAAAGGAAAACCAAGGTAAGTGAGGCTGCTTCTTTCCTCCTTCCTCTTCTCTTCTCCCTCCACCCTGTGGGCTGGTCCCAGATGCAGGTAGCACTTTCTCATTTAGCGGGCAGCACAACTGCCAGGAGTGGTGTGCTTCTCGGAGGCAAGGGTTTTGACTTCTCTGTCATTACATTCTAGTGGTAGTGAGAGAAGTTATTTAAGGGCATTAATTTATGATCGAGATGTTTGGTTTGGTTTGGTTTTTTGTCTTTGATTTTTTTTTTTTTGGAGCTTTGTCATCTCTGTGGGTGCCTGGAAGAAAGCCATCGATGGTCAAGCTGCTCTGAAAGATTTACACGGACTCTGATATACTGACTGTTGTATCTAATAAAGAAAAAATGTGACATTTCGTTTCCTGTCCTTCATGGGTTTTCTTTAGAGATGTGTTTTCTCATCCTCCATTGGTTTTAAAATATAATGATGGGAAGATGGGTGGCATGTGCTGGCCATTTTTTTTCTTGCTCATGCTGGTGGATAATCCATATGCCAAGCTGAGGTGGTCACTGCAGCACAGGTTTCCAGAGGAGGAGGCTTATAAATGCTGTAGCAAGGCCAGTCCTCCATGTAATACCAGCTTCTCTGCATCTTGGCTTCCCAGGGGAACACCAGCCTTGTAAAGCCACCAGTTGCCTCAGTCCTGCCCGGTGGCATCCTTGCACCCCTCCAGGGGCAGCTTCTCCACACAGCTCAGCTGTTGCATCACAAGCTTGAGCTGATGCTTAAGTCGCTGATCCTCTTTCAGAGCTGTTTGTTGTGCCAAAATACAGAGCAGTTAAGAGGAACAGAGAAAAATGCTTCAGCGGAGCCTGTCTGAAAGCCAACAACGCAAAGTGGAAGGCAGCGTAGCCAGGTTTTTTGCAACCTGACTGGTGGAGGGAAAGGAAGAGGTCTGGGTATCTTACAGCACCGTCTGTAGCAAGATCTTGTACCCTACGGGCGTTTATGTGCTTTTGTGAAAAGATTTAAGAGTGGGAAGCTTAGTGGGAAATGTTGACTGGTGACAAGGAAACAGAGGCGACCTTGTTCTAGTGACCTGCCTGGTGCTGACAAGGGCAGTTGTTTTCATGCTGTGGACCTCGGACCTCTGGGAAGTTGTGAGCTGCTTCTTGGAGGGGGTTTTGGTGAATAAGGAAAACCCGGCCTGGGGGACAGGGGTTTGGGGCTGCTGGGGAAAGAGCTGCAGAGCAACTTGGTCGAGCAGAGCAGAAACAGTGATCTTACCTTGTGGGGAGGGGAGAACAAGCTTGTGGAGCAGTGAATGAATGCCTGCAGGGCTCCGTCACCCTTGCTGCTGCTGCTGCATTCTCCCAGAGCTTTGCATCTGGGGTTTGTCGTGTTGCTTAGTCTGATTTGGGATGTTTCTAAGTGGGTTTGAATAGGAAAAAGCCCAAAGTCACTGCTGTGACTGGCTCACAATCAGAGCTAACAATGGTGGTGTTAGCCATGGTGGGACAGGGCACAGCCCCATGGGGTTTCCATTCTCCCCTCCAATTTCCAGTTCTTACCTCTCTTCTTAAACTGAAATTCTTCAGCAGCTTTATTTTGCTTATCATTTACTGCTCTTTCCTTGGGAGCATCTAGAATGAAACCCTTTCCTTCATGTTCCTGCCCCCTCTCTGGGTTTAAATGGCTTTATGGGTCCTGCAGGCTTCAGCCATTACCCGTTAAGTTTGTAGTCAGTCTGCTCTGGAATGAAACACCCGTTTTGATAGTTCCATGAGCTGCCTTCCCTGTAGCCCTCTGCTTAGTTTTTGATCCCTTGCTGTAGTCACAGGTTCCCCCAGGGCCTCTGAGGTGAAGCAGTTCAGGAAACCGGAAGAAAGGGCTTTGGCCCTTTATAAAAGATCCGGTCCTAAAGCAGATTAGGAGTGGTTTAAGCATGCCACGGAAGGTTGTCCTCTCTGAATCTAGAAATCCACCACTGCCGTGGGGGTAAGGGGGTCATGCCTGCCTTACCATGTGCTCCAGCACCCTCGTTAGTGGCATCCAGAGGCTGTGGCTTGTCCTTCTGCCTTATCTTTGATTCTTTTACGTAAGGGGGGTTTCTCTATTTAAAAGGAAAACACACACACC